GAAGGCTAGGGAAGATGTGGCCCCCCTCTGGAAGGGAACAGAAGAGCTGGACATGAAGGTATGTAGAAGGCAGAGGTTCTTAATGACTTCTTTGCCTCAGTCTTCACCAGCAAGGGCTCTAGCGGCACTGTCCAAGTTGTAGAAGCCAAAGGTAGGGGCTTGGGGAAGGAAAATCCTCCCACTGTAAGAGAAGATCAAGTCTGAGACCATTTAAAGAACCGGAAGGTGCACAACTCCATGGAACCTGATGAGATCCATCCATGGGTCTTGAAGGAACTGGCAGATGAAGTTGCTAGACCACTTTCCATCATATCTGAGAGGTCATGGCAGTCTAGTGAAGTACCCCCTGACTGGAAAAGGGGAAACATCACCCCCATTTTCAAAAGGGGAAAAAAAGGAAGACCTAGGCAGCTACAGGCCAGTCAGTCTCACCTCTGTGCCTGGCAAAAGCATGGAGCAGATCCTTCTGAAGGCTCTCCTATGGCACATGGAAAATGTGGAGGTGATTGGTGGCAACCAACATGCTTTACCACGGGAAAATCCTGCCTGACAAATCTGGTGGTTTTTTATGATGGAGTAACAGAATCAATTGACAAGGGAAGAGCAACTAATGTCTTCTACCTGGACTTGTGAAAGGCCTTTGACACTGTCCCACATGACATCCTGGTCTCCAAGTTGGAAAGATTTGATGGATGAACCACTCGGTGGATAAGGAACTGTCTGGAAGACTGCCCTTAAAGAGTTGCGGTCAAAGGCTTAATGTCCAAGTGGAGACCACTGACAAGTGGTATCTCTCAGGGATCAGGACTGGGACCTGTACTATTTAACACCTTTGTTGGCAACATTAACATTGGCATTGAGTGCACCCTCAGCAAGTCTGCCAACAACACAAAGTTGTGTGGTGCGGTCAACACACTGGAGAGAAGGGATGCCATCCAGAGGGACCTTGACAGGCTTGAGAGGTGGGCCCAGGCCAACTTCATGAAGTTTAACAAGGCCAAATGTAAGGTCCTGCACCTGAGTTGAAGCAATCCCAAGCACTGACACAAGCTGGGCAATGAGTGGATTGAGAGCAGTCCTGGGGAGAAGGATTTGGGTGTGTTGGTGGATGATAAGATGTTGAGCCAACAGTGTGTGCTTGCGGCCCAGACAGCCAACCATATCCTGGGATACATCAAGAGATGTCTGACTAGTAGGTTGAGGGAGGTGATTCTGCCCCTCTACTCTGCCCTTGTGAGATCCCACCTAGAATACTACACCCGGCTCTGGAATCCCCAACACAAGAAAGACACAGCTGTTGGAGCAAGTCCAGAGGAGGACTACCAACATGGTCAGAGGGCTGGAGCGCCTCTCCTGTGAGGACAGGCTGAGAGAGTTAGGCTTGTTTAGCATGGAAAAGAGAAGACTACAGGTAGATCTTATAGTGGCTTTCCAGTACCTGAAGGAGGCCTTTTTACAAGGGCCTGTAGTAATAGGATGAGCAGTAATGGGTGGAAGCTGGAAGAGTGTAGGTTAAGACTAGATATAAAGAAGAGGTTCTTTACCCTGAGGGCGGTGAGACACTGGAACAGGTTGTCCAGAGAAGTTGTAGGTGCCTTATCCCCAGAAGTGTTCAAGGCCAGGCTGGATGGAACACTGAGCAACCTGATCTAGTGGGAGATGTCCCTGCCATGGCAGGGCATTTGGAAACAGATGATCTTTGAGGACTCTTCCAGCCCAAATCATTCGATGATTCTATGAATACTAAAATGATTGATTTTGAGTGGATAAATCTATGCTAAGAAAATACATTTAGGGAAAATGTTAAAATATTTATACGCTTCCTTCATGATTCAGGGAAAATTCAGCACACATTGATGTCTCAGACCTTCCTAAGGCAGGAAACTCCAATTTTGTACCAGCTTTAGAAATTTTTTGCATTGCAGTTAACTGGTGAACACTGGAACTTGAACCCGGACTAAGTTTTCTGTAATTTGTCACAACCATTCCCTTTCCCTGTTCTGGTACTTCTCTTAGTCCTTGTCAACTTACAAGTTTAAAATATTATTTTTATTAGAGAAGAACAAGCTAGTTTACTGGTTCATGCTTCTCTAACTATAGCATTATAGCAAATGTAAACATTTTGAGATATGTATTTGTGTATTTGATGTATAATGAATATGTATGAATGTATGGTAAACTTACCAGCATTGACTGGACTAGGTTATAACTTGAATAGGTTTGCACAGACAAGTCAAAAAGAACTATACTTCCAGACTCAGATTCAGATGTTCCTGAATTCACTACACAATAGCCTATCAACAATCCCAGAGCTCTGCAATATTCTAAATGATTTCTTCTGGTACTCGATACTTTTGGATGTCCTGTAGGAATCTCATGCCATTTTGTCAGAAGCTTTTTGTGTGGAAAAAAAAATGAGTTTGAATGTTTCAAACAATTCTGTGAAGAGTTCCAATTCTGAAGAGCTCCATAGAACACCTTTTGCTCAAAGGAGACTTTACCTATCTCATTTGGTGCACTTTTACTGTGCTGATGTTACTACACATTTCCTATCAAATTCCCTGCATGCCCCTTTTTTTCCTTTTTATCAGGTAGTTGCAATAGAGTTACTTTTCAAATCATATTTTTTATTATCATAGATTTGAATAATTTTACTAAGATTTCTCTTCATATGTTTTAGTAAGTACTTTCTCTTTTTGCCATATCTGACCTTCCTAGCTTTAATGGAAACAAAAATATGTATTTTGCCTAGAGAGGTTGCAGAGTCTCCATCCAAGGATGGAGACTTTGGAACTTGTCAAACCTGTCAAACCTGGCAGGGCATGGTCCTAGGCAACCTGCTCTAGGTGACACCGCTTGCAGGGAAGTTGGACGTGATGATGTCCCTTCCAGCCTTGACCAGTCTGTGATTCTTCGAAAGTAAGAGCGAAGTTAAGAGGCAGGCTTGACTATGCCTACTGTAGGTTTTCATTCACCCACTAACACAATCCACAGCCGCGCACTAACCAAGATAATATGTGGTAAGACTGTAACAGCTGCCCCTAACTTTCACTGATAAGTGTTTTCCTTCAACTGACATAATATTCGATATACTGTTGTTGAATGTAGTAATGGTAAAATTCATTACTTGAGGGCTACAATGTGATTGACTTGTAGCCAGATAAACTGAGCTCTGACCTAGTGCTATATTCTAGGCCTTTACACGACTCAGACACATGGGTCACAACCTCAGTCGGTATAAACCTTTATATATTACAAGCCATTCCTGCATATATTAAGATCATTCCAACTGAAAATTAAAATGAAATCAATAGAGCCCTGATTCTATTGCCTTTAAAACAAGAAAACTACTGCTTTCAGTCAGTCTTTTCTGTAAGGGACCCTGAATTACATTCCTCACTTGTAATATATTATATTATGCCAAACTATTAATTGCAGTTAGCAAACAGCAATCTCCTAATGTTATGTCATAAAAAGGATGCATTTTTTTACATGTACTCCCTTGCAAATTTTATTTCTTCAGCCTTCTTCATCAGTAGCATTCAGAATCCAGGAATCTAAAATATGATGCAATATGCACATAATGCCATTACAGTACATATCTCTATAGACATCTATCACATATATATCTAAATTACATATAATACCTAATATCTATAGATGCATATTCATACACATATATCATACAAATATCTATAGGTGTCTAGAGTATAAATATCATGGATGCATACTTACATGTAAGTTTTAGACTGATAAATAAAAGATGGATTCTATTGTATTTGAACATGTGTAACATTTAGCTTTTAAAAAACAGATGTCTGAGATAATCCCAAGGAGCTTCATTCTGTATATATCCTAATAAAAATAACGGGTTCTCATCATTACAGTAATAGCCTTTTTATTACTCTTTCTCTAGGACTGTTCTACAATACAGAAAACTTTTTTGAAAATAGAGCATTTTGTGAATAAAGCATTCAAGAAAATATTTAAAAACAAAGAATATGAAGGTTTCTATAACATCATGTAAGGCTAATTTACTTCTTTTACAGGAAGGACAGAAAATTTGAAGAGAAGTTAAAAAATAAAGTCAGAATTTCTCATAGTAGGAATAAAGATTCCTGTATTTTCTGTAGAGTGCCAAGCATGATATCATTGCCTAAGAAAGTAGAGAAATAAATCAGAAACTAGAATTTTCACAGTTTTTCAGGTGTGTCCAATAACTGGATGACTTCTAGATGATGCAGAACTCCCACAAAGTCAGTAACAATTAAGAGAACTCAGTGGCATGTAGTGTTAGATTCTCAATCAGAAATAGCCTTATAAAATGTATTAATTCACTTTGGAACCTAACATATGACAAAATTCTTCAGATAAGCAACCATACATATTCATGGACATACTCATAAAGCAAGCCTGTCCTTTTTTTTTGCTTACTTATTCTATGTTTTGTTTGCTTATCTTAAACAATCTGCATGTAATACTGCGTTTAGAGCTACCTTTTAAAAATAGCCTTATAAACAGGATTTTCCTCTTTATACATTACATCGTAAAGATTCTTCCCAACATAATCATGATCACAATCCTCATTTCTTCTATCTCTAATTAGACATCTTGCTAAAGAAGGAAAGAAAAGATGAAGGAGCTGCTGACTTGGATATTAGTTTCGTAAGTCAAACAGTAGCCCTTGAAAACCTGCAAGTTGCCTTTGATGACCAAACCTGGCTTGCAGCTAGCTAACCTCAGTATTTGCAGTATTTAAGGTATTTCCTACACTAAGCATAAGCAAGTACAAACAAATACTATGGTACAAAGGAACTTGCATTTTTTTAGCTTAGGAAAAATGGAATATTTTATTTTGCCAACACCATCATTAGTCTTCAATATGCCACACTAAATTTACTTCATATCCTTGTACATCTTTGGGTCCACGGTCACTACATCTGTACAAAAACGCTCACTCAGTTAACTGGGTTTGGAAACATGTTTTGCTTTATTTCCTACCTGAAGGATGTAGCCTCGAACATAGTCTCGCAGTGTCCAGCCTAAGCCATGTAGAATGTGCAACACCTCCTCTTGCTTCAGTACACTGAAGAGTCGATCAAGTAGTATCTTCAGTCTCACAGGCACAGCTTGAGTACCATAGAGCATCAGGCTGCTGATGTCAAACACAACGTTGGACTGCACAATCTCCACTTGAGTTGGGTGATAGAGGTGCTGAGTACTAAGCTTGTCCAAGGCTGAAAAAAAAAAGGGGTTAAGTGTAAGAAAAGAGCTAAGGGAAAGACAAGAAAATAATGCCAAAGAATTATCTAAACACAGCGAATTTGGCAGATGCACTTATTTTCCAGAGAAATACCACCTGGACAATTCATAGTATCACAGTATGGTTTGAGTTGGAAGGGACCTTTAAAGGTCATCTAGTCCAACATACCCTGCAATGAGCAGGGACACCTTTAACTAGATCAGACTGCTCAGGCATGGAGCATCTAGGCCTCTCTGGGTAATCTGTTCTAGTGTTTCACCACCCTCATTGTGAAAAAGGTTTTCCTTATATTCAGTCTAAATCTACTCTCTTTTAGTTTAAAATCATTACCCTTCATCTATCACAAAGGGCCCAACTCTTTCAGCCTGTCCTCACAGAGGAGTCATTCCAGTCTGATCATGTTTTGTGGCCCTTCTCTGGACACATTCCAACATATGTCTTCCCTGTACTGAGGACTCCAGACCTGGACACAGTACTGCAGGTGATGTCTCACCAGAGCAGAGAATAGAGGGAACATCACCAGCCTTGATCTGTTGGCCACCCTTCTTTGGATGCAGCCTAGTATATAGTTGGCTTTCTGGGCTGTGAGGGCACATTGCCAGGTAATGTCCAGCTTTCCATCCGCCAATACCACCAAGTCCTTCTCTGCAGGGCTGTTCTCAATCCCTTCAGTCCCCAGCCTGTATTGATACCGGGGGTTGCCCCAACTCAGGTGCAGGACCTTGCACTTGGCCTTGTTGAACCTCATGAGGTTCACATGGGCCCACTTCTTGAGTTTATCCAGGTCACTTTGAGTGGCATCCCATCCCTCAGGCATGTCAACTCAGCTTGATGTCATCTGCAGACTTGCTGAGGGTGCACCAGATCCCACTGTCTGTGTCACTGATGAAGATATTAAACAGCACTGATCCCAGCACAGACCCCAAAGGGATACCACTCGTTACAGAGTGATTCTTTTTCACAGATGCAGTCCAAAACAGGCCTGATTTCCAAAAGTCACAATTAACTTCAATTCCTAGAGGAGAAGGGTGCTCGGCTGAGCCCCAGAGACTACAATACTCATAACGTCAAAAGAAATAAAGAAAATTTATGATTGGTGTCAAGACTGAAACTATGCAGACTGGGACTGTTAAAGCCTGTGACTTAAGGTCTAGAGGAAAAAAGAGAGACAGATACACCCTAAACTCCAGCTTTTTAAATATGTTAGTCCCCGGATTTACCATAAACTCTATAGTGAATTCACTGACTAATTCGTTTTACCCTTCTGTATGAATTTCATGTTATTCACTGTGACATGAATAATTTAGAGATGAAGGTAAGGGAAGTTTGCAGGATCAAGATAATTTCTATCCCCTTGTTAAGTTAAATATCATGGAATTGCATATGACATCACACACTTTACTGAGTATCAATATTTAAATTTAATTTTCTTTCCATTTTACAGACTATTGCAGCACCTAAGCTTCTCCCTGCTTTTTTTTTTTAAACAAAACTTTCTAAGCATTTAAAATAATTTTATAGGGACTTCTTCTCCTGTACTTTGATTTCTCTTGGTTTATGGTCACTGGAGAGTTCATGTATTCTTGATAAATTGCTTTCTTACATTCAGAGCGCAAAGGCCCTTATCATTTACTTGCTGGCTTCATTCAACACATTTACTCCAAGGAATATTTTGTCAAAGAGCTCTGGTTTCCTCATACTTCATTTCTTGCAACTGATTTGTCTGATCTTTCCTATTCTAGTGGTTAAGTCAACTTTGAATACATAGCTTTAAATAGTCATTTAACATTCAAAAAAGATAAGGAATTGGCAAGCCTAGGGATTGCAGTCCTATGCCTCTCCACAGGACATTTATACAGCAGAATGTGAAGGGTGGGATTTTTCTTCCAAAAGCCATTCTTCTGAAGTACTTCAGTTATATAGGCTTCATGATGTGGGACTGATTTATTTACAAGGACTAATGAATGGAATTTGACCAAACTTTAAACCGGTCAAATATTTTCCTACTTTCCCCTCCCCCCCTTTATGTATAATATTTTTGTAACATGGTTATTTTGCTACTACCATAACAGACGTGTCATCAAAAGAATTCAGCTAGAAATGCTTAGAAATTGATTTTGTTAATGTGTAGGCTGTGCTATATCTGTGCTGATATGTATATATGTGTCAAAACAAACAATTGGAAGAAGTAAAATATTAATTTTATTTTAAAAGGCTACTATTACTCACAATAAGAATGCTATAAATAATATTAGTGTTAATAGATGTAACACCTTCTACCAGACTATCAAAATAATTAAGCAGGTATGGATCACCTTAAGGATTCCACCTTCAGTCTTGCAGAATGAGAATAGAATCTAAAGAGGTTAACTGGCTTCTCCAAGTTTACACAAATGCAGACCAGAGTTAAGACCTGAATGAGTATTTTCCCAATACTCAGTGCTTTTCAATCGCTGCATCATACTGTATTTCTGATACATCTTAATATTTGGGGTTTGTTTCTCTTTACTTAACAGTAAACCCAAAGCCTGCAGTGAGGAAAAAGCAAGTTCTTCCAGCTACAGAAGACTTCGTCTGTTGAAGATTTTAAGGTTATGATTTCACTTTGGACCAAATCAGAGTGACTGTAAAATATCCTTATCTAAAGACTATTGGTTGGTTTATAAAAGTAATAGCTAGGATGAGATTACAAAACTCGGTGGATATTTACCAATTTTATGTAATGTGACCACTCTGAGGATAACCGCTTTGGAAAGGCTGAGACGGAATACAAGTGAGAAAAAGAATATAAAATGTCCTCTTAAATTACTAAGCACAGTCTTTCACCAGAAGACAGAAATTTTCATGAGATATCTTCTACTATTCTATCTATCTGCGACATTTGTTTTCAGGCAGTATTATCTATAGACATATGTTCAAAACCTACACACACAAAGGGTTAGTCTGCTATTGGATTAACATTCCAAGTGACAGTGAAAGTATCTCCAATTTTGATTTGTGGCCTTATTCTGCATATTATGTAATAAACATATAAGTAGTGAATTATCCTTTTGAAGTAGAAGTCAGGGTATGCACTGAAACACATAATTTGTAACACAACAAAGCATATATTTTTGCATGGGTGTGTAGAACATTTGCTAACTAAAGACAGACGTCATGCTACAGACAAGAAAAAAAAGGAAAAAATTGTACATGAAGAGAAAGGAAAGGCAATTGCACCCATATAAGAAATAATAGTACAGTAAGCATCTGAAATTCTTTGAGATCATTGATTATTGAAAACCCACACACTTGGCAGGAGAGTAAAACTTTTCACTATAATTTGTAATTTATAAAAATTATCTTGTTTCTTTAAAAGATATTACTAAGGAAATAGTTGACAGTGTATGATTTCACAAGTGCTTGGGAGACTTCAAGATGAAACATGCTTTATAAAAGAATGAACTTATCATACCTGAAAAATGATATAAACAGATGTGTCCTTATTAAGAAGGTATCAGTGACTGAACATCATAAACCACACATTAAAAGTCCCATCCTGATGCAGCAGGAGGTATTACTCATACTTCCTACACTTTCAGTGGTCTCAAAAATTCACCCAGAAAAGTCTTAACATGTTTGGGACTTTTTGGTCATATCCTGTGCAATCTTTTCCAAAAACTTCACTATGGTAGGTTCAGCTGGGTGCCTAAATTTAGAAGTCTACATTTTAACAGCCCAACTCTATTCTTAGAATCAGATTACCCCCTGGTAATCTGATTTTCTTTATTTCAGTGTGAGTAGAGTGCTATTTACTGATAGAGGAAGAATCTTAAAATCACAAACTTGCCGAGTAATCAAAATTTTGTGGAACAGCCTAAAAAGGCACTTACGTTTTACTACAACATCATAAAGATGAGTGATATTTCCATGGTGAATTCTAAAGTTCAAGCACTTGTTTCAGAAATTTTGAATACTAAAAAAGGGAGGCAAAGAAGGATGACAAAGAAGTAGAATATGTTACAGAAGATTGCCTTCAACAGCCTAAAATGACTAATTGTATAATTAGTATAGTAGGAACCTTTCAGTATTGTATTTCTTACGTAACGCTGAAGTATCAAGTATGCACCACAATCACTTAGATAATTTAGAATATTACAGTTGGAAGGCAGCTACAATGATCATCTAGTCCAACTGCCTGACCACTTCAGGTCTGACCAACAGTTAGAACTTGTTATTAAGTGCATTGCCCAAATGCCTTTCAAACACAGACAAGCTTGGGACATCAATCAGCTCTCCAAGAAGCCTCTTCCAGTGTTTGACGACCCTCTTGGTAAAGAAATGCTTCCTAATGTCAAGCTTGAAACATCCCCATGTTGATTTTTCTACTCTTTACCTTCTTGAATAGCAAACAAAATCCCCCAGATTTTGCAGAAAGTCTGTTCAATATGATTTGAATTGTAAAGACAATTTTGAAATTGATACAATGCAAATCTTCACATTACAGCCTGCAGTATTCTTGTTATGCAAAATTCCAGAAAAAAAAAAGTTTGGACCTATTTGTAACCAATCAGTGAATTAACTTTTATGTTCCATCTGTGGGCTTTTTGCTGGTGGTTTTCTATTTTCTTAATGTAGTAAATAGGGAGAGGAAATATACTTCACCATCTATATTTCACTGGAGTTTTGAGACCCTCTGTAATTCCAAGGAAATAAATACAGAAAATAGATTGAAATAAGGCTCAAATACTTGCTCACTTTATCAAAAGTCTGAAAATAAAGACAAAATCTTTCACTGCATCACTACTGTGGCCAGATCATAGGCTCAGATATGCAAATTTACTCAATAACCTTAGACCTTTTCCTTCCCAACATGTAGTGGAAAAAGTCAACCAAATTAAACACCATGCTTCTGAGTGGTTTCCATTTTTCTTACAAATGAAATGCATATATGCAATGATGAATTTTGTACTTTAGTGGTCTCATTTATTTTTT